TATTTCCTAAGTGAAAAGGAATGTAATACCTGAAAACAGAATCGGAAGAAAGGATTCCCAAGTGAGTGTCACTGTAAGGGTGCCACAAAACTTGCAGCACACGTATGACGCTGCTGCCATTAGAATAGATTTGTGAACCAACATTAACAGTCCTGCAAAATGGTAACAACAATTTCGGTATGAACCAAGAGATTTCCATTTGATTCTCCATCACAAGGATTGAGATAATTAAAAACATGAAAAAATAATAAGATATAAGAAATGAGTCAAAGAAATCATAAAGCTAGAATAGCTCTCAAAAAAGAGGTGCTCCTATAATTTGTACTTTTCTATGAAAATTTGAACTTTTCAGCAGCTTAAAAAAAAATTTACCCAGAAGAATATTTGCCTGAAATAATCTACAGCAGTTATATTCCAATTTCACCCAAGTTGCATCAATTGACACCTGATTCCACAAATTCTAAAATGCCAAGTGAAACGATAAATCGAAAACACATTGGTTTAACGCCATACCTGCAAATTATGGCATTGTCTTTGGAAGAAGCACGCCCGTATAGATACATAACACAATGAGCATCCGAACCAGCAAGCAAAAGTGCTGATCCATTCCTATTAATAGAAATTTTCTCAACTTCAAATTCAACCTCCACAACTGGTCGCAATACCTATCAAATTATTTAAATTTATCAAAAATAAACTTAAAAACTAAAAAGGGACATGACAATTCAAATACCTAGAAATGCCAATTTGTATGCATATATTGTTATCTAACAATTCAAAAACAACACCAGAAGTAAATATTAACCAACACTCACGGTCACTCATTCTACTTTCCTTCACTTTCTCAGCAGCCAAACACGAGATAAAAGGAAAATCGAGAGAATGAAAGAAAGGTGACCTTAGACGGCGAGGCAGCGAGGACAGAGGTCGGCTCCGGCTCGCCGAGGCGAACCGAGATCTGATGAAGGCAGAGGAGGTTGGAGTCCCAGAAGTAGAGGCGAGAAGCTCCGTCCCAAGCCAAGAGATTTCTCGGCGATAGGAGAGGGGCGGATACGGCGGCGGAGGAGGTGAAGACCGGGTGGTTCTTGAGGGGAACCCATTCGACGTCGTTTTTGGGCGTCGAGGACCTTCCTTGCTCTGGTTTCGCTTCCTGCAAATCGAAGTTGAACCTCATTTTCTCTGCTCCGGGGGGCTAGCAAGCTTTCTTCCGGCTATGGAACGAGCTCTAAAACCCTGGTTTTTTCTTTTCCGGGAAAATCTCGATTTTTCGCTTGGGCGAAAATCTGTGTGAAATTTCAGATAATTCAAAATCAACGACGTCGTTTCTCTCCTCTTTTTTTTACTCTCAGAAGACGTTTTGTTCATGGATTAGAATAATGAGATTAGAATCATTTTTGATTTATGTGTATTTTTTATGAGAGAAAATACTGTAGCG